TTTGAGTGTATTTTCCTTAAAGCTCATGGTCACTCGCACACTGCTTCACTAATCTCCTGGTTTCACTGTATTTTCCTTGAAGCTCTTAGTCAACCATATTGCAGTTTCCCTGGATGACACTTTCTCTGGCCCAAAAGGCTTCAGTAAAACCCCAAGTTCTTCAATTCTATCTTCTTGTAACAATTTCGCACTAAATTCAAGCAATCCTTCCAAAGCTTCAGCTCGTTGTCTGCAAGAAGACATATTAAAATGGTGGCGCTTTTGGTCTGATGAGGTTCGGCTAGACATGCCAGCTGTAGCATTTTGATCAGAACACTCACTTCCATCCTCTCTAACATTAAATGTAGGTCCTTGAAATCCTTTAGAATTATTGTTGAAGCTCAATCTGTCAGATCTATCAGGAAACTGAATGGTGCATCTGTCATTCATTATAGAGCGGTCACCCTGTGGTGAACTAGAGGAACTTTGCAAGGAGGCGGATAAAATTTTATGCATATGAAAGAAGGGATCCTCATACGACACTAAAGGAAATTCAATTATCTTGTCAATTCGAGGGGCATTGACTGAAACATCTGGGGACTTGATGATGTCGATGATTCCAAGACTAGGCCTACCGCAAATTGCATCCTTGACTGGTAATGGCAGAGAAGCTTTACGAGTAGTAGCAACAGATTTCTTAACCAAGGTTCTTGAGTTTTGGAGCTGCATAAAGCATTTTTTCAGTAAACACATGTAACAAGAGAAGAATCCTGGGCAATATCACTAGCATTTAGTTTGTGCTAAGCTGCTAATCCATGTTACGTTCAGGGAGGAAAGGAGGAAAGGAAGGGAGAAGGTAGGGATGTATACTTCTTCAACATTCCCTTATTTTGTGTGAGAAAGGGGAGGGGAAGGAAAGGGAGGAGAAAAAATCAGTGAGAATAGATATTATTTTATGCGTAACTCTCTGATGTACCCCTTAATTTCTTAGTCTACATATTTTAATTGTGATTAGTTTACTAATTCAATGCCTTGTGAGATACAGAATGAACATTGATTTCAGGGGTAGGTTACCTACCCTTTACTCTCGCTTCCTCACCGAATTTCAGGTTTCATCTCAGCCAGACCATGTGATATTTACCATTAACATCTACTTTTGTATTCCCTCCAACTTTTACCCCTACCGACACCCACTTATACAAATTTAGATTGTTTAGATTATTTACTAGAAATCTCATCTACATAAATGCATCTGACTAAAATGTGGTGATCAGTCAAAGAGAGAGACATCATAAGAATGATGGTACCGTATCAATACTTGCAAAAGAAGATGTCTATTTAGTACCCTAAAATGACTGAGCATAACTTAGTTGTACAACTTCCTCATACAATTTATGAATGTTGTATTTTGAGATGTATTAACTAATCTTGGTTGGATTATACACATGCATTCTAATCTTTGACTTCCTCAATTCGCTAAAAATGTTGGTGATCAGTCGAAGAGAGGGACATCTTAAGAACGATGGTGCCATATCAATCACTGCAGAAGAAGATGACTGTTTAATACCCTAAAATAACAGAGAATAACTAAGTTGTATGACTTCTCTTGCAATATATGAAGGTTGTAGTTTGAGATGTAATAACTAATATCGGTCGGGTTACAAACTTTGGTCAGTCATTCTTATCTTTGAGTTCCTCAACTCAAATGCAAGTATCTGATTACTTAAATAAAAAATTACAAGTGCAATAGTAGTTTAAGAATGCTATTA